TTTATTCGCAAAGGGCAGCCAGGGAGAGTTTCCCTTGTTCTTTGTCCACAGAGGGGAGGGGGGGGGCGGAGGTCCTGGGTTACCCCTGTCCACAGGACAGGAGGGACCATCCCCTTGTCTCTCCTGTCCACAGGGGGGGCGCCCCCCCTATCCACACGAGGAATTAGGGGAGGGGGGGGCCTTGACTTCTCGTTGTCCACCAGGGACCCCCCCCTGGGACCCCCCGCGGGGGACGGCATCCTGACCCGGGACCCCCCTCCCCACCCCAACCCCCTATCCCCCTCCCCCACCCCTCTCGGCGACCTCCCCCCCGCCCCAGCGAGGGAGGGATCAAAGGGAAGGGGCTTCCTTCCGAATGCACTTCGACGTTTTTTAATTTCTGTCGGACTGACGACGACGACGACGACGACGACGACGACGACGACGACGACGACGACGACGACGACTACGACGACCACCACGACAACGACGACCACGACGACGACGACGACGACGACGACAGCGTCTTCACACGCCGACAGGGTCTTCGGGTTGAGGCCTCTTTGCATCATCCCCTTTGGTATCTGGAGAGTAAACCCAGGCTGCATCAGCAGGATAACCCCTTCTGAAGTGTTTCTGGCCAGTAGCACCCCCGTGAAGCATATTCGCCCCGTTGGCCTGCCAGTCGAGCGGGATGTCCGTCCTGCATCTTTCTGGCCGCATCGGCGAACAGGGGCTTCGCCGACTTGCAGGGAGTGCAAGTACAGCCGGAGCGCTGAAGAAGGAACCCTTCTCGTTTGGGAGGGGCCCCGTGTTCCTTAGGTCCCAAGCATTACGTGGTGTTGGGTCTTCGGTTTGAAAAGACAGCGCCCCGCGTTTTCCTTCTCCTCTCCTCTCCTCTCCTCCTCCCCCCCTCCCGTCAGCATCATCTTCATCTTCATCATCGTCATCGTCACCGTGATCGTCGTCGTCATCATCATCATCATCACCATCATCATCATCATCATCATCATCAGCATCAGCATCATCATCATTATTAGCATCATCATCATCATCATCATCATCAGCATCAGCATCAGCATCATCATCATCATCATCATCATCATCATCATCATCATCATCATCATCATCATCATCATCATCATCATCTGCATTACCAACATCATCGCCATCATCGAGGCCATCATCGTCATCAGCTTCGGCACACCCCTCACACGTTTCGTGGCGCCTGAGGGCCCCAGTGGCTGCGTTTTGCGTTCGCATGGCGGCACCGCACCCCTTTCGGCACACCCTTCCCACGTCCCACGTTTCGTGGCCCTATAGGGAGCTCCACCGAGGGCCCCAGTGGCTGCGTTCGCATGGCGGCACCGCGCCATTTCGGCACACCCCTCACACGTTTTGTGCCCTCATGGGGAGCCCCACCAAGGGCCCCAGTGGACGCGTTCGCACGCGGCCAATGCAACCATTTCGGCACACACACACACACACACACTTCACACGCTTCGTGACCCCATAGGGAGTTCCTCCGAGGGCCCTAGTGGCTGCGCTCGCATGGCGGCACCGCACCAATTTCGGCACACCCCTCACACGCTTCGTGACCCCATAGGGAGCTCCACCGAGGGCCCCAATGGCTGCGCTCGCATGGCGGCACCGCACCCATGTCGGCACACCCCTCGCACGCTTCGTGACCCCATAGGGAGCTCCACCGAGGGCCCCAGTGGCTGCGTTCGCATGGCGGCACCGCACCAATTTCGGCACACCCGTCACACGCTTCGTGGCCTCATAGGGGGCTCCACCGAAGGCCCCAGTGCCACCGTCCACATGCGTCCCCCCCACCCGTTTCGGCACACCCCTCACACGGTTCGTGGCCCCATAGGCAGCTCCACCGAAGGCCCAGTTGGCTGCGTTCGCATGCGGCCAATGCGCCCACTTCGGTACACCCCTTACACGCTTCGTGGCCCCATAGGGAGCTCTACCGAAGGCCCAGTTTGTTGCGTTCGCATGCGGCCACCGCACCCATGTCGGTACACCCCTCACACGGTTCGTGACCCCATAGGCAGCTCCACTGAACGCCCCAGTGGCTGCGTTCGCATGCGGACTCCGCACCTGTTTCGGTACGTCCCTCGCACGCTTCGTGACCCCATAGGGAGTTCCACAGAAGGTCCAATTGGCTGCGTTCGCATGCGCCCACCGCACCTCGTCGGCACACCCCTCACACGCTTCGTGGCCCCATAGGGAACTCCACCGACGGCTCCAGTGGCTGCGTTCGCATGCGGCCACCGCACCCATGCCGGCACACCCCATCACACGCTTTGTGGCTCCTGAGGAACCTCCACCGAGGGCCCGAGTGGCTGCGTTCGCATGCGGCCACCGCACCCATGTCGGTACACCCCTCGCACGTTCCGTGGCACTGTATGGGGTCTCCACTGAAGGCCGATATGCTGCGTTCACATGTGCCTACCACACCTATTTCGGCACTGGCCTTAGATTTTGCGTCGTCCCATAGCGTCACATAGTTCTGCAACACGCCGCTGTGCTTCGAGCTCCAGGCGTCCAACCACTTCAAGGACACGGAGCTCCGGGATCTCATGGCGCTCCTGCGCAAAAAGGAGAAGCAGATCCCTCTGGCCGTCCGGGCCACGTGGAACGCCATGCAGCTGAAACCCGATGATCGTCGGCTCCGGGAGGAAAGGTTCCAGAACGGCCACATGATCGGGTCCTATTGGGACACCGTGGCGCGGTGGATGAACATGCGTGCCCAGCGGGACGCGGAAGTCCTGAAAAAGCCTTTCTTCCTCGTGCAGGCTGCCGACAGGTCTGCCCCGACGATGAACGTCAAGGGCGCCGCCAAGATGATGAACTGTGCCAACCCGAAGAACACCGGTGGCATGCACGGACTGCTCCCGGTGCACGCGGGCATGCGGATCCGGCTCCTGGAGGCGCTAGACCTCAAGAAGCACATCGTCGTGGACCGTCGGGATCGGGGCGACGTCGAGAGCGCCGAGAGGGGCGGGGAGAAGAGGATCTATCTGAAGCACTTGCCGCTGGGGCGCTGGGTGCGCATGGAGAAGTACGCGAGCGCGCCTTTCGAGGACGACCTGAAGCGTTACGACGACAGCCTCACGGGGGACCTCGCGGGCCCGCTGGTGTTCATCGAGCCCCGCGCGTCGGAGCCGTTCACCTTCCGCGCCTCCCAAGGTCACCCGGAGGGGCCCCCCGTTCTCGCACGGCAGGGCCATCACCGCGGCGGCGCGCCAGGGGCGCACCATGCGAGGAGGCGACGGGGCGGGAAAACGGCGCTCCGGGGACGGCCAGACCTCCAGGGCGCGAGCAGTCCGCAGCCAGACCTCGGTCCTGTAGACTCTCCCCCTGGGCCGTCGGCTGCCCGGCGCGCTGCTCTCTCGGCCGACGTCGCCCGCACGTGGTCCTGGACTGCGGCCGCCGCGAGGTCGGGAACGGCTAGAAGGAGGACGATGACTGGCGGCTGGAGCTCTACGCGCTGCTCTCGCGCGCCACGCGTCACGAGGGCCTCCTGCTCACGCGGGCGCCGCGCATCGAGTTTTTCCTGGCCGGGCCGCCGGAGGGCTTGCGGAAGCAGCTGCAGCAGTTTGCGGCGCGCGCGAAGCGGCGCAGGAGGGAGGCGACGGCCCTCGCCAGGGAGCTCGGCTTCACCGAGTTTATCCGCGAGGCCTGACCTGAGCAGCGTTCCGCCCGAGCCGCGCCGCGGACGATCCGCGCGCGTCGCTAGGGCCCTCTCGGGGCAACCGGCGCGCGTCGCGGAAACTCCGCGCCGCGTTCTGCCCAGCGCCTCGCTCGCCAGTCATCGCTCTGCCCGGCGGCCAGAGCCCCCCCCCGCTATCAGCAAGCCAGCTGGCTGCTTTTGTTCCGCGCAGCGGACGATCTGCGCGCGTCGCTGAGACCCCTCCGGGGCGACCTGCGCGCGTCGCGGGGGCTCCACCCAGCGCCGCGCCCGCAGCCTTGGACTCTGGAGCGCGCGGGCACAGAGGGAGGGACATCAGGGATGGAAGCGGACGCGATCTTCGCGAGGGGCGCGCCGACATGGGCGTCGCGGCGCGCGGGCGCTGCCGTCGGGACCCCTGGGGAAACTCCTTGCGGCGGCCAAACTCAGCGTCGTGAGACCTCAGGGTCGGGCGCACCCGAACCATGCGCAGCCACGTGCATTTACACCAGTCGCGGCCATGCTCACATTCATGCAAACATATTCACTCGCGCGCAGACTCATTCATACTCAGACTCACTCGCTCTCAGACTCACCCGCGCTCAGTCTCTCGTAATTCGACAAATCGTCTTCGTTAGTTTTCTGTACCTCGCCACATATATCGACGCGCCCCTCGTGCGGTTCGTGGCTCATTGGGAGCGCCACCGAAGAAGATAGTCACACTTGCGGATATCTCATCTGCATATGGTTGGGTCCTTCGCTTGTCTAATTGTTTTACAGCTTGCCTTGGGTTTCCCTTAGGCTTTCGGCCGGACATCGAAATTTAACTTATGGAAAAAAACAGGGGCCTCGTTCCTTTCCGTCGCTCCTTAAGCCAAGGCCCCGGGACGATAAGAGGTCTTGTATTTGTCATACTGTATTGGTCACTTATGACCGGGCGTTTTCGCTCGATCATACGGTACATGGCCGATGAACACGGCGCAAGGCGCACGGTGATCCATATTATTTCCTGACTATACAAGGAGCACGATCCTTAGGTCATCGCTCCAAAGACAGGCGAAGTCCTGATGTGTTTCAATACGGGGCCCCTTGAAGTCCCCACATTTTCCCCGGGACCGGCTTTTCATCCTGAGTCGTTGTCCTTACAGTCCTGATGCCCGGCGACGATCCCCCGTGGCCGAACATGGCCAAAAACCTCCTGTCCTGATTTTTTTGTTGACGCGATGATGTCTGGGTCTTCATCACATGTCTTACTGGTCATAAGATTTGCGGGGGTCTTCACGGGAGAGTCGCGGAGAGTCGCGGGTCGGCGCCGGTGTTCCCCGGCGGCCGCCGCCGCGAGGAGGCGGCAGATTGGACGGCGACCATGCGCATGCGGAGGCGTGCCGCCTGGGCGCGCGCAGGAAGGGAGGCGCGAGGAGGTGGGCGAAGAGAAGGGGGAGGAGGAGGAGGAGGAGGAGGAGGAGGAGGAAGAGGAGGAGGAGGAGGAGAAGGAGGAGGAGGAGGAGGAGGAGAGGAGAAGGAGGAGGGGAGGCGGAGGAGGGGAGGGGGAGGGGGAAGAGGGGGAGGAAGAGGGCTCCAGCGGGTGTATGCCTCCGGTGAGCGGGCGCCCTGGCGTCACGTAGGAGAAGGATTTGCCCAGCATTGCTGGCCCGAATTTCTTGACATGTGTTTTTTGTTTCTCACGTTCGGCTTCTTAGATTGGGCGTTTTGTTCCAAATCTGTTTCTGGATGTTACCTCCCGTTTCTGTTGTAGTGAGTTGCCCAGTGCATGGTATGGGCAGGCACTTTTTGGGTGCGCGGGTTCGAAGGGAGGAATGGGGGCGAGGAGTGGGATGGGGAAAGAGGAGGTGGGCGAGAAGGAGGAGGAGGAGAGGAAAAGGAGAAGGAGGAGGAGGAGGAGGAGGAGGAGGAGGAGGAAGAGGGTGGCCAGGAGAAAGAGCGGGAGTGTGAAGAAGAAAAGGAGGAGAAGGAGGAGGAGGAGGAGGGAGAGGAGGAGGAGGAGAGGAGGAGGAGGAGGAGGAGGAGGAGGGGTGGGAGACCAGGGACCCAGGTTCTGGAATGTTCCTGGCGCGTTCTGGGCCTCTGGAAGCTTCCGGATGGGGGAGGATGGCGACGATGACGAGAGGGACGAGGAGGAGGAGGAGGAGGAGGAGGAGAAGGAGGAGGACGAGGAGGAGCGGGTCTTTGGTTGTTCTGACGGATAGCGATTCCACAAGATTTGGGGCATGGCCTCGTGATGGCTAGAAGACGACTCGGTTTCAAAAGACCCCGGGCTGGCCCTCAACACCTTCAAGTCGGCCCGAGATGCTCAACGTTCTTCCTGGATGGGCGCAAGAACCTCCTGCGACTCTGGGGGCCGTCACGGACGCGTCACCGCACCGTCTCCGCGACACCTGCACCAAGCGTTCCTGCCCCCGGCCACTGTCGCTGCTGAAATGGCGCTGCCCTGCGGCGGGGCGACGTTCAGCTCGCACCCTGACGTCCTGTCCCTCTGCAGGAGGGCGATGTCAGGATAGGCTCAGGTGAGACGTGTGGTCGCGAAGGGCATCAAAATGCATGCCTCGGAGAGCCGCTGGCAGAGTCCGCCCTCCTTTTGAGAGCCTTTCGCTGGAGGCTGCGTTTCGAAGTGCATGCCCGCACGGCAGCGGAAGTACAGGCAGCGCGCGCGTGCGCCAGCCTCCCGGGTGTAGCCAGGACCCTGGTCAAGGGCGGCCGGGCAGTGCTTGGGCCCCGCAGCCACAAACACATTTGGCTAGAGTCACTAGACCAAGTATGCCGTAGACGGCGTTTCTTCGGGTGACGGCAGTTCTGGTCAGAGGAGTGGGGCAGGGGTCGTGCCCCAGTACGCATCACTACCCGTCGACCGTTGAGAGCAGGTATTTCTGGCTTCCCAGATCCCAATCCTCTTTGGGCGCCTTCCGGTTTCAATCCTCGAGTGCTAGTTCCTTTCACTTCCTCTTGAGGGGGCGGGGCCGAGGTCAATCTACTTCCAACGTCTTCCCACCTCATGCTTCTGCCCACATCTTCCGACCGACGGGTAACTGAGCCAGGCCCCACAAAAAAAAACAGTCCCGCCGACGCCCGAGCCATCCTCCCCCCGCGCGCCGCCGTTCCCCCGTGCTTCCCCCCGGTCCCTCTCCGCCCGATGTTGTCGATCCCGCAGGCCGCGCGCCGCTTCCATCACAGCAGCATCCCGCCCTCCACAAAGAGCCATCCGTGGGAACTACGTGCAGTGAAGCGCGCCCAGTAGGGACGCGCGCCTTCACCTAGTGGTGCCCTCGTGTCATTGCCTCTGCTCTCCGTCCTCTGCGGTTTTTGCTCGCCCCCCCTGGGTTAGTGTACCCCTGCGTCCCTGGGGTTTGGGCCGCCCGACGCCAAAAAAACCCGCCTGGGCTTCGGGCCGCCCGACGCCAAAAAATCCCAACTTCAGCCTCCAAGGGCTTTGCGTCCTTACCACCCGTCCGTAACGCCTTTCTCGACGGTAATTCCTCCAGCGCCGTCAATTTCTCACGTCTGCGGTACGGTTGCTGGCCACGATTAGTTCTTTTCAGACTGGGCTTCGCGCGGTCGTTGGCAGGGCGGTCTTTACAGCTTGCTGCGGTTGCCTTTTTTTTTGAATCTCGTCAGAACAGAGCGCTGTCGCTCCTTCACGGATTTTCTCGGTCGCAGTAAGCAACGCATTAAAGCGTGCACATTGCAAGTCCAAAGGAGGCGGTTCCTTTCGTGTGCGCCCGTGGCACTTCTGACACGCCCACCTCTTGCGAACCCATTTGAGTCGATGCCCCCTGGCCAGGGGCAGCAGAGGTGCTGGCGCACCAGAGGGCCTGGGGGGCAGAGGGGAGAGCACGCGTGGCCGCCGACGCCCGCCAGGCACCGATTCTCGGCATCGGTCACGCGAGGAAAAACCTCCTTCTCCTCCTCCTCCTCCTCCTCCTCCTCCTCCTCCTCCTCCTCCTCCTCCTCCTCCTCACCCTGACCCCCACAGCATCTTGCTGGCGTCCGCTGGACGGCCTGGGGCGTGTGCCGAGCAGCCCTGCGCTGCTCGAGCCTCTCCCGTGGGCTGCGTATTTGCGGAGCGGCTGCGCTCGTCGAGGTGTTTATATTCTAAGAGTTGTTTTCGCTCCGCCGCCCGCCCCGCCCTTTTTTTCCTTCGGCCGCATCCTGTCTCCCTCCTCCTTTTGCGTGGTGGCACAGTTCGCTCCGACGGCATCCCCGCTGGAGCCCCTCATCGCCTGCGCAGTCGCCCTCTGCTTAGCCTTACATCGGGCGTGTCCCTCTACAGGAGGAATTCTAGACGCTTCGCGTATCCCCACCAGTTCCCCAGTCAGTCTGTGTTACCCGTCAGACTCCTTGGATCGATGTCCTCGGGAACGTTCTTTTCTGTTCGCATCTGAACTGCTGGGAACGCCTCACGCGCCATTTTGGCTGCGCTTGGTCTCCTCGGTGCCTGTCCTCAGGCTCCCTGGATGCACCGTTGCATGCCCGTCCAGGGGCTGTCTCAGACTCCCTGGATTGCACGTCGGCTCTGCCGCTCTGGGCGCTGCCCCCCCCGCCGCCTGATCCGCGGCCCCCGCGCGCGCTCGGCAATTTAGTCGCGGCCGTAGCCCGCCCGCGACCTCCCGCCGCTGGCGCTTCCGCCTGCGGTTGTAAAAAAAATATCCCCACCAGTCACGCTTTGGCTCAGACGCCCTGGGTCGCTGCTGCCTGCCGCCTGACCGCGGCCCCGCGCGCGCCCGCCCCCCTTGTCGCGGCCGCAGCCCGACCGTGACCGCCTGCCGCTGGCGCTTCCGCCTGCGGCTGTATATAAACAAAAAAACAGCCCGTCCAGAAACGACGCCCAGGCGAGTAGAGGGTCGTCCTGAAGGGTTTTTTCGGCGTCTTGGGTGCCTCGGGGGGGCCTCTGTGGGCCGTTCGGGATCCTCTTTGGGGCCTCCTGGGGGCCTCTTGGGGCCATCTTGGGGCCATCTTGGGGCCTCTGGGAGCACCTTGGGTGCCTCTGGGGGGTCTCTTGGGGCCTCTTGGGGGTCTCTTGGGGGCCTCCTGGGGGCCTCTTGGGGGGCCTTTTGGGGTCATCTTGGGGCCATCCTGCGGCCTCTTGGGGCATCCTGGGGGCCTCTTGCGGCCATCGTGGAGGAAATCGATCGAAGAAGAGGGGTTCCTTAATTAGAGTGAGGGGTGTCGAATTTTAGCCTTCCCAGGGGTCGATCTTGGGCGCTCCAGCGCGCCGCGGAACCCCCTGTCCAGGTCAGCGTGGAGGGGGTAGGGGGAGGGGTAAAACCCTCCCCGAAGGGGAAGAAGGAGGGGTGGAAGAGGAAACGCTCTGAACCACCGACGCCCAGAGGGCTGGTGGGATTTTCCCAAAAAGTCAAAAATAGTACGGGGACAATGTGTTAGTTGTTGAACAAAAAATGTTTATCATTTTTGAACATCGATGTATAATACTAGTAATACGTCGTCAATAATCGGCGTGTAGGGGGACATGCCCGACCGAAGCCTAGCCGCCGACGCACACGTGTTTCTGCCTGCTCTCTGGTCGAGCTTGCCGCCGGGCCACCGCCTGGGCCTGGGCCGCCGGGCCACGCCGCGCGCCCTCGTGCGAGCGGCGCCGGGCTCTCCGCTGGGCGCCCGGGCGGCGCTGGGCTGCGCCGCCTCGGGCCGCCGCGTGGCCCCGTGGGCTCTTGGGGCTCTCCGGGGCTCGCGCCGCCTCGCGGAGGGCCGATCTCTCTGCTCTCCCAGGGTCGGATGCGGGCCCAGAGGTTGGACTCTGGGCGCGCTCGGCCCCGGAGTGCACTAGAGAAAGTGTGTGCGTGTGTGCGTGTGTGCGTGTGTGCGTGTGTGCGTGTGTGCGTGTTGTGTTGTGTTGTGTTGTGTTGTGTTGTGTTGTGTGGTGTGGTGTGGTGTGGTGTGGTGTGGTGTGGTGTGGTGTGGTGTGGTGTGGTGTGGTGTGGTGTGGTGTGTGTGGTGTGGTGTGGTGTGGTGTGGTGTGGTGTGGTGTGGTGTGGTGTGGTGTGGTGTGGTGTGGTGTGGTGTGGTGTGGTGTGGTGGGTGTGGTGTGGTGTGGTGGGTGGGGTGGGTGGGTGGGTGACGTTCGGCCCCATTTGGTGCTGTGTGTTGTGTGCTGTGTGTGTTGTGTGTTGTGTGCTCTGTGTTATATGTTCTATGTTGTGTGTTGTATGACTTTAAGGGTAGCTGTTTGGGAGATGTTATAGTATCGGGAGCATAGCTCGCGCGCCGTTGCCTTGGGCTCAAGGCACGCGCGCCCTATTTGCCTGGACACTTACCTTAGTGTTCGCTATGTGCTGGAAAGACCGATACATCGATCTTATCCTATCATACCCATCCACTCCCCATATCGTATTCCTTCGACATGGAATTGGATGC